GTGCTCCACGCAGTTTGCACACCAGAGAGCTGATTGGGTAAAAATAAACAAAAAGTTTAGTTAATACAAACCCCCCAGATTGAAAAATGAAATTGTCAGGGAAGAAAATAAACCGAAAGATGCAACCTTAGGCTTTACGCTTCCATGTTAAATAAAATCCCTTTTCTAATGCAAGTTTCCTATTGCCTGGGAGCTGTTTCCCAGTGTACCCCTAGACCTGGATGCCAAACCTCAGACACGAGCCTGCTTTTTAAAAGACTTTTTTCTCTCTATCCATGGTGTTTCCATGTTTATTCAGAGCAGAGGAAATTCCCTCTTGACTTGATAGCTGAGGATGTCTCAATGTCTTCCGGTTAACTCCTAGTGGTCCACCATTGTCCTTTCCTAGGCTGCACAATCAGTCATTTCTTGGAACTGGGTTTGTGTAAACGCCTGGTTTGGGAGCTGCTCCTCTCCACTTCACTGCTCCCAGCCCTGCTGCGAGGGGTAGCGGAATGTTGCAACATAGATTATGTGCAGAGTTTTGTATATACACAAATACATAAATTCATAACCACTGTCTGTGTATGTATCTCATAATGACCCTCCAGTTCAGAACACTGCAGGCGTTCATAAAATACAGCTTGCCATAAGTTGGTTCAGCTGCTCATTTTGGGGAAGGTTCAACCTTACGTTCTCCCCTTGGAGTCTCTTGACCCTGATTGTCATAGGATCTCTGTTACCAATTGCACAAAACTTGTCACATTGTGCTTTCTAGTTCAGTGACTGGCCAGCCACGCACTGGCCTGCTGTTCTAGTTGTTAGCTATAGATGACCGATGCAAGACGTGTCCCGAGGCTGTTGAGCAAATCCAGAGCGTCATCACAATCCCTGTCCTTCTCTGCAGTATTCCAGGTGCAGCATCAGTGCTAAGGTGTGGCTTTGTTAAACTGGTAAAGATGCATGTATCTCTCTCTAGTGATTGCATTTTGTAAAAGTTCCAGGCGCCTCTAATTGTGATGAAATGGAAACTGGATTAGTCATCCATGTTGTGGGCTGGAATTTCCCAAAACCACACAACAGTGCAGATGCAGCGATAGAGAGTGATCTGTCTCATCAGAAGGCTGTTTAACTGCTGTGTGCTGAACTGGGGTGGTTGGTTCCCACCCGGCAGAGGGCACAAAGCAAGATAACCTCTGCATGACAGAGGTTTGCCAGCTCTCTACAAGAGATCAGTAGCTCTTCCTTTGTGTCATTATATTACTCCTATTTGTCCTGTTTTATCGACCTCTGACACTGAAATGGATTCTCCTTCAGGTTGTCCTGGAGAGCATTTTAGTTTGATATCTTCTGTCTGTTCCTTACCACTTGTAGTAACTTTCCTCGTGGATTGTATTTTCTAAATGGACAACCTACCCTAAATTCTCAATTACTGAGGGGCAATCTTCACTCATTGCCATATTTGCTTTCCACAACCATATAACTTTTCATGAGTGATGTACCCGAATGCTTGGATGCTAATATCTAAACTGTATTCTTAAATGTATTCACCTAAATTTGAGTTTTTGCTGACTATGCACTATATGTATCTTATGACTTTAAAAACAAACTTTGGATTTGTGGATAATCTAAGCACTATACCAAGATGTACAGCCACTCTTTTCTTAACCAGTGTACTATATAATTTTTTAACATTAGCTTTAATAAAATTTATAAATCTATTAGCCCATATGGGAAACATCTGAGCTGGTGCAGCAGCACCTGCGGAGCACGCCTGCAGAGTGTGGTACTGATTTAGGATCATTAGAAATATGTGAATAGAACCAGAGAGTTTTAAAGATTGGGAAGGCCATGGAATAGATACAGTTGGTCAGATATTAGGTAAAAACACTTTTCTAACCTATTTAAAGATCAAAACTAACTTTAACTGGCTCTCTCTCCCATGGTACCGCTACATTCCAGTTAGGTATCATGTTTCTCAGCTTTCTGTATAAAACAACTTTCCTAGAAAGTTAACTTGTGATGGTGACTGGTCAATTAAACAAAAAATTATAATTAATTATATCAATCTTTGCAGACAACTTATCCTAAGTGCAAAAAAAATGTCCATGCTGGGGAAAGCATCTGGATAGACAGATTATCCCAAAGGAATGGGATTTGATCTGGAAAAGGGGACAAGCAACCTCCGTCTGTAGCATGATGAAAGAACATTTCTTTAAGCTTCTGCTTCAGTGGCATCTTACACCAGTCACCTTAAAAATATATGTATACATGCCTGAATGGGGATAAACGTGGAGGGGAACAATTGTGGTGAGAGAGGAGATTCTGTGAATATGTGGTGGCCATGTCTAGTCATGAGAGCATTGGGATAGTTTGTAACTTGGGTATTTATTACGAAACCTCCTGGGGCTTTCTAGCAAAAATGGTCCCATGAAAGGAAATGGAGAATTACTCTCTCATCTGCTGGGAGCTGCTAGGCTACTGATAGCCTCTCCCTGGAAAAAGAAAAATAGTCCAGCTGTAGAGGAATGGCTTAAAAAAAATGGAATGTGGTTATGGAAAAAATTAACGCAGCAGTTACATATCCCTGCCAAAAAACAAAACAAAACCCCCACACCTGTCCAACTTCTTTGAATATTAACATTTGTTAGACACGCCTGATTTGTTTAAATATGTGGGTTGTGTGAAGATGCATACTTTAGTATGGTACACCCTACGCCTATTGGATAGAGAGACCTGATGGTTACATTCGTGTATGTTTCTCTACACAGAAGCTCAGTGTTGTAATGATGATTGTTTTGTCTGATATTTACCAGTCAAGGATTTATAAACCTGTGAAAACTGCCTAAAAATCAATAGTTTTTCAAAAAGTGAGTATCTGAGCACCAGTTAGCAATGAACCGAAATTATACCTGCGTTCTCAAGCTGTAAGTCAGTTTCCTTACTCAGGCCAGGGTCCTGTTGACTTCAGTAGAACTGGTATCTGATTAAGGATGGTGGGATCAGACCATGGGCAGGCTGCCTATTGAAATTCTCTCAGAGAGATATTAAAGGAAAATACACCTTCAGTTACTTTCCCATTGCCTTGCTTTGTAATGCTTCTGGGCAGGGGAGAGGGGAATGTTGAACCTCCTCACCACCAGAAATCTGGTCAGTAGCTGGCTAGATTTTACATAAACAGGGAGGAGCTGAACCTTCCAAAACCCAAGGAAAGTGAACGGCCGTGTTGCATATCTCACTGCAGGCTGTGTGCTACATGAAGATAGAATGAAGGAATAGATCCCTGAACGGTTCCAAAGCACCCCTCGCTGTAGTGACTAGGCACAATAGTATGAATACAACTTCTCATTGTTGATAATTTGCAAGTTGAAACCCAATCTAAACTACTGTGGTTCTTGGAGTCTCCAGACTTTACAATTGTTAGTAACTTTTATTTGAACATACAGGAGATGTTGTGGGTATTGGTACCGCTTTGAGAGCACAGAGCACATGAATCTTAAACAAGCAGGGAGTTCATGCTTTTTCCATAGTCTACAGGTTCAGTCTGTTACATTCTGTTCAGCTATGGCTTAGGGACAGCTTTTCCCTCAAATGTTAATATTTTCACAAGAACTAATTTTAAACCTTTTTGCAAAAGAATGAAAACACTTCGTTTCCCAGATTGTAGTGACGTTTACACAAAGTCCCTGACCACTAGTAGGCACCCCCTTGTCTTAAGTGGCCACTTTAAGTAATCACCAAGATTTTTAGCAGCATTGTGGTAACTGTTTAAGAGACTGCCCTGGGGGGTAGGCAGTAAACTTTTAAAAAGAACAGGAGTACTTGTGGCACCTTAGAGACTAACAAATTTATTTGAGCATAAGCTTTCGTGGGCTACAGCCCACTTCTTCGGATGCATAGAATGGAACATATATTGAGGAGATATATATTTGGGGTGTGTGTGTATATATATATATACACACATACACACACACACACACCCCAAATATATATCTCCTCAATATATGTTCCATTCTATGCATCCGAAGAAGTGGGCTGTAGCCCATGAAAGCTTATGCTCAAATAAATTTGTTAATCTCTAAGGTGCCACAAGTACTCCTGTTCTTTTTGCGGCTACAGACTAACACGGTTGCTACTCTGTAAACTTTTAAAGACAATTTGGTGGTTGCTTACAAGAGGCTTCACTTTATGTATAAACAAACATGGATGCTATAGACAGGATTCTTCTTACCTGTAACCAGAAGCTACTTACCTGAGACTGTATTTGCCTCTGTCTCAAAATAGAGCTGGGTTATTCCCTGAAGATTAAAAAATGTTAATCTTGTGCTTGAAGCTCCTAAGGGCAAGAGACTTGGTCTTAGCTGTGTAAAGTATAGGACAAGCTTATAGTGTTATGCAGAAGAGTTGTAATTGCAATGCAAGGGGCTGTGTCTATTTCAGATTCCAGTAAGTCTGTCCAGTATAGTAGAGGATGTGTTAGTCATTGTGCTTATCTGATGTCCTAACCTTGGACAGAAGGTGCATGGTCAGGGATTCAAATACAGTGCTCTCCAACACCACTAGTTTTCAGGTCCTTTCTCCCCCCACCCCTCCCTCCATGAGGGGCTAATCATCGGTGTGCCGTCAAGTGCTGCACAGATTGACGGGCTGGCTTCCCCACACTGCTCTGCAATATCCCCCCAGTTATAGATCTGATCAAAGATTGCTGGTGGAGTTTAGGCAATAATCACAAATGGGAATTAGATTAAGACCAACAGACTAGTTTTCTCAACCTGGTAGAACCTAGATGTCCAGAGACAAAATGCATTTCTAGATTCTTAAGACTGCCTTACTTCCCAAAGGCAGGGGGTAACTTAGAGAACTCCGTATTTGAAACCAATTTGCTGTGTTGAATAACAGCGCTGTAACAGTGCTAGCAAAACAGAAAGTCTTTAATTGTGCAACTCTGTCGGCCCAGTGAAACCTTTCTGGCAGTTTTGTGGCCTTCCTTGCATCTCTTACTCTGTTTTGTTTCCCTGCAGTCCACCTGGAAGGATTTTATGGTGGCAGAATATTTGACTGCAGAGATGTGACGTTCGTTGTCGGAGAAGGGGAAGACCATGACATTCCAATTGGAATTGACAAAGCTCTAGAAAAAATGCAGAGAGAAGAATACTGTATCTTGTACCTTGGACCACGGTAAGAAACTCTTAGCTCTGGGTGAGCAGTATCTGTCTGAGCATCTTACAGACAATCTCAGTAGCAGGCTGTTACTGAAAAGGATATGTTTTTCATAGGATCTTCTCTACAAATGCCCACTCCTATGATCTCCTAGGAGCCACCCAGACTTGTAAACTGATATTTTCAGTTTCTGGAAAGTTTGACAAGAGCATTGTTGTACTTGTGTGAAACTCTGTCTGTGGAGTAGATAATGGCATCTAATTTGGCTTTGTTCATAGTATTCATAAAATCGGTCACAAACACAGGATTAAGGAGAGTTGAGTTGTGAGCGAACGCTTTTGTTCAGATATTTGTATCTGAACTATTAAAGGAGATGCACCCATCACTATCAGTGCAAGCCACGGCTTGTTTTTGTGCAGCCTTATAGCTTCCGCATATTACATAGACCAAAATCACATGCGTGGTGGTTGACGATAGGAATATCCACATGCACCCAAAGCAGCCTATGATCTAGCATATCTTCATTTTGCTCTTACGGAATAAAATCATCCTATCCTGACATGTTTCAACGCTGGGAGAGGGTTGGAACGGCATCCGGTTACCAAGATAAATTTAGGCCAAAACGTCCAACTCTGGTTTGCAGGGTTAGGTGCCTACATATGGATTTAAGTTGCCTGCCTTTCAGAGGCACAGGGAAAAGAGCACTGACCTAGAAGGGTGACATTGAAAGAAAATGGAAATATACAATGAATTGAAGAACAGCAGAGCTGCAGATCAGGTGGGGTTAATAATTCCTAAGAGCATGGGTGATGCATCCCCTCTGAATGCCAGGGGAATAGTGTTGAATCCAGTCCTGTTTCTAAAAACAACGTTGCCACTGACGAGAAACTTGGCACAGTTTCCTATTCAACATCTGGCTTGTCTCTAGGGTCTGGCGTGTAGCTCCCCACTCGTACCTCCATGCGTGCGTGAATAATCAGAATATTGAATGAAGTGCCTGATCACACACCCTTTCCTCTGACGCTTTATTTTTATGCTGTGTTTCAGATATGGGTTTGGCGAGGCAGGGAAGCCGAAATTTGGCATCGAGGCAAATGCTGAGCTTGTGTATGAAGTTACACTTAAAAGCTTTGAAAAGGTGAGAAGAGAATTTCTCTACACACACACATACACACACCCCTACCTACCTACCTACCTACCTCTACTGGAAGCCGTTCTGCATTGAAAGTGTTTAACACTTTCTTTGGTATGGCTGTAACGCAGCCCTGGTAAAGCAGTTACATCAACAAAGATCTCCGTGTTCTTAATTTGTTCTCCTATGTTGGTTTGTTTTATTTTTTTGGATGCGGTTCAAGACTTGTTCCTTTATTTGTTCCTAGGTCTGTTCTCTTTGTACTTTTTTTTTTTTTTTTTTAACTGGGCTGCAGACAAAAAAGTTCATGTCCTGCCAAAGTGCTCTGAAAGGAGGGCAGGGCTGGGCTGCTGAACAAGCTGTGCCCTCTTCGGGAGGCTGGAAAATGTGCCCGTGTTTGTACAGTGTTAATGAAGAACAAGATGTACATGGGGTGGAGCAGATGCTGCCAGGCTCTGTCCCGGGGCATGTTTGTGGGAGGAAGGCATCTGTGCCTGGCTTCCCTCCCCCATCTCTTAACAGGGGAGAGGACAGAATTTCCCTTCTCCCTGTGGAGACACTTTACCCACCCCTCCGATGCTGGCTGGTGTGTTGTTTTGAATGGGGTTTTGGAGCACGTGGGGTTTGAATGGACCAATCTTGTTAAACAAGTGTCCTCTTAACTGATCTTAGGCACAGAATGGCTTTCTTTAACACGCAGCACTGACCAGACCAGCCAGTCAAGGAGAAATCCTAGACAGCTCAGGCCACTTGGTGTGAAGGACTTGAGTCTCAGGTTACAGTACCGACCGCTCATTTTGACTTTATTGCCTTTTCAATTCCTAAAGCTGAATGGATCTGGTGGACAGATCAAGGATTTATTTATGACTATAGACCCATACTTGCTCTTGTGATCCACTCCTCCCAACTGCCTTCTGTGGGCAAAGTGGCTTCCTCCTGACACCAGAGAACAAACTCCTTCAGATAATGAGTGAGCATTGGCATGGCAAAGAATTGGTAATAGCAGTGTCGCTTGGAGCCAGCATGTCTTGAAATCTGGGTTTCTCGAAGTCCGTTTCTGTTGTTGGGATAAAGAGAAACGAGGTGGGTGGGGTGATAACTTTTATTTTATTCTGTTGGTAAAAGACAAGTTTTCAAGCTACACAGAGATCTTCAGGTCCCCTACGTAGATCGAAAGCTTGTCTATTTCATCACCAGAAGTTGGTCCAATAAAAAATATTACCTCACGCACCTCGTCTATCTAGTATCCTGGAACCAACACGGCTACAACAACATGACAAACAAGTTGGGATGAGGAGCCGCCCTAGAAGTCAGGAACTCCAGCTGATACTGTTTCCTGTCTCATCTTCTAACAATTGTTATAAATGTTTGCACACAGGCCAAAGAATCCTGGGAGATGGACACCAAAGAGAAACTTGAGCAGGCTGCCATTGTCAAAGAGAAAGGGACAGTGTATTTCAAGGTTTGTAAAGACTTAGTAGAAACTGGGTCGCCAAGAAATGAAACTGGGCTTCCAGTCTAACATTTTCTTAAATTGCTGGTGGACCCTTCAGAGAAACAACTGACGGGCTTGTCAACACGGGAAGTTACTATGCAGCAAGCTGGAGTTTGACTTGACAGTGCGCTCGCTACTGCTCGCTAAACCCCATCTGGGCGCACGCTCATCGCGCCCTGAAGGTACCTTTGTGTGCTTTAGCTCAATGCACTTTAAAGTGAATAAACTAAACTGCCCGAGGGCACTTTTAGTGTGCAGTAAGAGTGTTCACATGGGGAGTTATGCGAAGTAGCCGGCGTGCTGTAAATTCACACGCGAGCTTGCTGCGCGCTAACTTCCCTGTGTAGACAAGCTCTAAAACATCATTGAACAGGCATAAAGTGTCACAGTTTGTCCCTCCCAAACAGTTTTAGCCCTAGGCAAGGCAAATAATGCCCCTCTCCTGCCTACCCTCCTCTTCAGGTGACCAATATGGTCTATTGCAAACTTGACCTTCCCAGCTTGGCGTAGCACAGAAGCCTGAGGAAGGATCTGCAGTGTAGGACAGCAGTTTGGCATTGGACTGTTCTTGCCTGATATGTGGTTCCTACTAAATAAGGAGGTACCACTAAGAAAAGGTTTCTTCATTTAATACTACTGTCTGCCTCTTTGGGCGCTGTATGGAATAGCCTTATGACTTCCAAACTTCATACAGCTAATGCTTATTTACACAGTGCAAATGTAATCTGTGGAACTCATTGCCATAGGATATTAAGGTCAAGAGTTTAGCAAGATTTAAAAAAAGGATTAAACATGAATATGACTAGTGGGAATATCCAGTTGCATTATGCCAAATATAATTTATGGGGCTACAAACCCTCCTGCTTCGGGATATAAGCTCAACACTGAGAGGAATTGCCAAGAAAATTCCTGTATAGATTAGTTATTCTAAACTGTCTGCTGTGTGGTTTCTCACCCCTTGCTCTGAAGCATCTGGTACTGGCCACTGTGCCATGCAGGATATTGGCCTTATCTGGTATGACAATTCCAATAGCTCCTAATAATAGTAGAGAGCTTTATTGAAAGGAAGATACGCGCTGTCCATTTTGTAAGTAAAATGAAATTACTTGAATTCAGGGACACATCAAAATATAGGTGACCTTGAAAATCAGATCGCTTCCATCAAGGTTACAGTGGGTTGGGAGAAGATGTTTTAGACTCCAGACTTTGTTCTGTCAGGAGATATCAGCATCTTTTATCTGTACAGTTAAGATTATTTGTTACAAGTCATGTTGTTTAAACGTAGTTGGCTGTTTTGATGGATTTGTATTTGAGTTAATGAAGATATTCATATCCTTGCCTTTCAGCCTTCCGCTTTCAGCTGTGAAGCTCTGTTTAATTTCTGAAACTGGATGAACACCATTGGTCCTTCTCCCCCTGTGTCACAGCGTGTTTCTGAATAAGCAGTTCCCTGTTCAGTCTCTCTCTCATGAGAACTATGGGACACCCATCTTTTGGGTCCCTGGAAACTGCCTTTTGTACTCTAGTTTTGCCTGTCCAGCAGAGGAAAGGGCATAATTTTTTTCTACTCCCACAGCGGGCATCCTATCAGGTGGTGTTGGCTTGCAAGCATCCTGCCCTCCTAGCTTCAAGGGGAGTGTCTCCTTGGAACCCTGAAAAGAGAGAGATGGCCGTTGAAAGGGAAGGACAGGAGAGAAGCACTGTCTCCCACTTGGACCAGGCTAATGCTGAGTTCATTTCCTCAGGCAGGTGAAAGCCTAGGACGGTGGGATGTGTGGGCATTCCTCCTAGCACTCATGGGAGTGGGGAGTAGAAAACAGGGCCTGACTTTGCAGAGGTGCTGAGCATTGCAGCTTCCGTTACCTTCCCCTGGAGTTGTGGGTGCACGGCACCTCTGAAAATCAGCCCCCTTGTTTTTAATTTTAAAAGACTCCAGGTGGTTCAGATTGTTAAACTGTCTTTAAAACTGTTCCAGAAGCACATCCGCTTCAGTTTGCCAAATAACAATCCTTTAGCCTTGTCTTCCCTTCATCCCAGGAAGGCAAGTACATGCAGGCAGTGATTCAGTATGGGAAGATCGTGTCCTGGTTAGAGATGGAGTACGGTTTATCAGAAAGGGAATCTAAAGAAGCTGAATCCTTCTTGCTGGCAGCCTTCCTCAACTTGGCCATGTGCTACCTGAAGCTGCGAGAGTACATCAAAGCTGTTGAGTGTTGCGATAAGGTAAAGGTACACCTGGCTAGAATAGGCTGTTTTTCTGTCCACTACCTCTCCTGTCTTTCTCCTCTTCCCTTACACTGAATTTCTCTACATTCCAGAAGGAACTTCCAAACTTCAGTGTAAGTTTAGTCTCCTCTCTGGGCTTAGAACTGAAACTTAAGGTTTTCTGAATGTAACTTTTTTGGTGGGGTAGAGCAGTAGCACATCTTTATAAAGTTACGCACAGAGTGGTCTTGGACACATTACAACTCACACCAAATTAAAAGCAGCATCAAACAAAATGAGGGCTGGCATCAAACAAGAATCTTCTCAATTAAAATGTGAATTAAGAGCAAATTTGGCTTCTCAAATATTCAGAAGTTGATTAGTGTTTAATTCCTAAACAACCTCAGCCCAAATAACTGCACTTTGTATCTGTTTTATTTATAACGCACCAGCCTTCGTATGTTTAGGATGACCAGCCTATCTTGTAATCAGGAAAACAAGTAACTGAAACATTCTGTGGACTTGCAGTATTAATAACCTTATAGATTAGCAAATGTACTTCAAAATCCCAGTGCTGGGATTAAATAAGATTACTCTTGTATGTATTCTGCTTTTGAAACAGTATTCTGCTGCTAGTCATTTAACAGTGAAAGTTGAAGACGTCAGAAAATAGTTACAGTAATCCATTCCTTCATACAACATGCATACAAACCTCCCTATTCATATCAAAGTGCCTATATCTCTGGAAGGGTGCGAAGTAGAGCCAAACAAATCCTCCTTGGTGAGCCTGGCTCTGCCTAGCAATGTTGTTACAGATCATTAAACTGAAGTTTTGTTAAAAGATGGAAAGTGCTAGCAGAGTGTTGTGTTACGCTTGCTGGGGCTGTTCTACTGTGTACTGTTCTAACGTACTTTTTCATCATGGCACTTGGACAGTATAGACTTGTTTTTGTAGAATCTCAGTATTTCTTATGTGATGTTTCCTTTAAAAAGGGGGGGCGGGGGTCTAGTGCTCTTTATGGATGGAGAAGTTAAAGTAAGTTGAAACCAATCTGTTAAGTTTCAGGAACATACAAGCATATGAACCAGGTCAATTTCAGACATTTGAGTATTTCTCTTACTTAACTACAAACACTTCTAAAAATTGCTTAAAAATAAATTGCGGCATGCTCTAGGAGTGGTGATCTCTTGATCTGTGCTGCATATCTTGTTAACCCTAGTGAGGGAATTATGTGCTCTTGTCCAGGGGAGTTTTGGTCCCAAAGATTTTAAAGGGACACAATTTCATTTTTACTAAGATGCTTTGTAATGATGGTATAATTTTATTTTGAACAGTGTCTTTCATGCAAACTTTGTTAAAATAAAATGCTTCACAGAATTAGTTCAGGAGCTGATTCATCCAAAGTAATTACCTGGTACAGATCGGTTGGGTGGGGAAAAGCATTTCAGATGGGGTGGGGGGTGGTCCCCCGAATCTTCAGGCATTCAAAATTTATGCCTTTGGTCTTTTTAAAAAGTGTGTTTGTCTGAAATTTGGAGCCAGAGGGTATGACTTTTAGGGCCAGATCCTGCAGCTGGATCCATGTGGATAGACCCCAATGACTTCAGTGAGGTTCTACCCACACACAGCTAATTTGAATCTAGCCCCTAGGTGCTGACCTGTGCATCAGTGACATTCTTCAGCATGCCAACATACCAACTTTTGGAATGTCAGCATTGTCAGCAGACATGTAAGCATATTGGGCATGTAGGCAGCAATAAAGGAGTTTGTGTAAACTAGAAGCTAGAGTGTTGAAAGTTTTGTCTTGTGCTAAGTTTTTAACTTAAACTTAACTTAGCTTAAACTTTTGTCTAAGTTTTGTCTTAGATTTTGGTGGTTAGGATTCTTGCAGATTTGATCTGTAGTATAAGTTAGTCATTTTAACTGGAAAAAAATCAAGTTGAAACCTTTAAATATCAGCTTCTGCGTGTAATCATGAGTCATGGTACATTTGTTCAACAAAGCCTTTTCTAAATGAGTCTTACATTCTTTCCATGTACTAATAATGTAGTTACTCACAATTACCAATGGGCCAGATTCTGGCTTGGGGTAGGCATAGGTGTGTGTGTGTAATATATAATAATATGCAAGATCAGAATCTTGTCATAGGGAATTCTATTAGTGATACACAACTAAGTTTGGAAAAGAGGAGACTAAGGGGGGATATGATAGAGATATATAAAATCATGAGTGGTGTGGAGAAACTGAATAAGGAAAAGTTATTTACTTGTTCCCATAATATAAGAACTAGGGGCCACCAAATGAAATTAATAGGCAGCAGGTTTAAAACAAACAAAAGGAAGTTCTTCACACAGCGCACAGTCAACCTGTGGAACTCCTTGCCTGAGGAGGTTGTGAAGCTAGGATTATAACAGGGTTTAAAAGAGAACTAGATAAATTCATGGAGGTTAAGTCCATTAATGGCTATTAGCCAGGATGGATAAGGAATGGTGTCCCTAGCCTCTGTTTGTCAGAGGGTGGAGATGGACGGCAGGAGAGAGCTCGCTTGATCATTACCTGTTAGGTTCACTCCCTCTGGGGCACCTGGCATTGGCCACTGTCGGATACAGGATACTGGGCTGGATGGACCTTTGGTCTGACCCAGTCTGGCCATTCTTATGTTCTTAAATATAAGTCAACTGAAGATAATTTTTTAAAAAAGAGATAAAGTAATGCAGCTGCCTCAAGAAGGGGCTTAAAGCAGTGAAACAAACTTGTGAAAAAACAGACACTGCTAAGGATTAAACTTTAGTGGGTTCTGAGAGTGTCACTTTACTGTCATCCACGTGTGTTCCTCTGGGCTTGGGTTTGGTACTTACCCATGAATTCTTGCATCTGTGGGTTTGTCTCCCACTGACTGTTACTTTTCGGGGGGAGAGGGAGGAGCAATTATAATAATCAACTGCAGTATATTTATATGGATTTTCAACCAATACTGGAGGCCAGTGCCATTTTGTGTAGACAAGTTAGGAGCACTGTAGAGATTTCAAGCCTTTTCTGCCATTCCAATTTCGTCATAGAATCATAGAAGATTAGGGTTGGAAGGGACCTCAGGAGGTCATCTAGTCCAACCCCCTGCTCAAGGCAGGACCAACCCCAACTAAATCATCCCAGCCAGGGCTTTGTCAAGCCTGACCTTAAAAACCTCTAAGGATGGAGATTCCAGCACCTCCCTAGGTAACCCATTCCAGTGCTTCACCACCCTCCTAGTGAAATAGTGTTTCCTAATATCCAACCTAGACCTCCCCCACTGCAACTTGAGACCATTGCTCCTTGTTCTGTCATCTGCCACCACTGAGAACAGCCTACATCCATCCTCTTTGGAACCCCACTTCAGGTAGTTGAAGGCTGCTATCAAATCTCCCCTCACTCTTCTCTTCTGCAGACTAAACAATCCCAGTTCCCTCAGCCTCTCCTCATAAGTCATGCTTGATGAGGCTTTAAAACTTGCAATGCCTCTGAAAGAGAGACACATTCACATTAGCAGAGCGTTTAGGACCCCAGAACAAGGAGCGCTCAGGTGACTGTGTGACCTCAACATTATTGGGGTGTCTTACAGCAATGTCTCATTTTAGGGGGTTAGGTTTTGAGTTGTGGTGGAAGTATTTATCTCTTTAATCTGATCTTAGTTGGAGTAACTTCAGCGAAGTCAGTGGAGTTAGACTGGTGTGAGATCAGAATCAAGCACTCCATCTCACCAAAGAGTAGCATGCGACCATTTTGTTGTTGTTGTTGTGCACCCTAACAGATAGCTAGGTAATGGAATTCTTCTGTGTGCCGTTTGGTGGCAGACTGTTCTGCACAAAAATACCTGATGACACCTGTGGCCATGTACATCTTTTATAAATTGTACCTGGTGCATATTTGCTAAAGTCATTTCCTCCAGCACAGTCCTTGCTTGTGTTAACTGGAGTACAGTAAAGGGAAACCCCAGGGTAACTAGCAAAGCTTAGGATGGCATCCAGCATTAATGTGGAAATGTGTCTTTGCAGGCATTAGGACTGGATCAAGTCAACGAGAAGGGGTTGTATAGGAGAGGTGAAGCCAGACTACTAATGAATGAATTTGAATTGGCGAAATGTGACTTTCAAAAAGTACTGGAAGTAAACCCGCAGAACAAAGCTGCCAAGTCCCAGATCACAGTCTGCCAGAAGAAGATGAAGGAGCACAATGAGCGTGACCGGAGGATATATGCCAACATGTTCGAGAAGTTTGCAGAGAGAGATGCAAAGGTTTGTATTGTGTTGACGCTTGGAGCGCATCCGTTATGACTTGATAGCTGACTCAAGTTAAGTGGACTTTGTGATGGAGAAAGGGACCAGATTAACAGAACTGCAGATTGTATTTTTCTAACAGATGGAACAAGAAGGGGTGTTTGACCCATTACCTGGAGGGACCAACCCTATGGAAAGAGAGTCTATGTATTTTTTAATGGTCCATTCTTGGTCTCTCTACAGCTGAGGCTGATATCACAGGTATCAGTTGTTGTTAAGGGTATTTGCAGTGTGAACCTTTCCCAGGGACCAAGACTTAATTTTATGATTTCCATCTGACAGCTGTTTGGTGGCATGCTCCTAGTCACTGCTGACCTGTGCTGGATTGAAGGTGTCATTCAGTTCTATTGCTAGGCCTGAAATGTCTGATAGGAGTTGGTAGTGGAAATCCACTGGATATCAAGCATGTGTCTTGCCACACAAGACCCCATTTCCTCCATCTATAATATAGATGTCTCTTTCTTACAACAACAGGCTATGAGTTGCCTAAACAAACAAGTACCTGATGCACACACTACTCTAGCAGGAGGGAATACATGAACTATGAAACCAAATTTGTATAAATCCTTTACAGCATTACCTTCAGAACTAGTGCCTGATAAATAAAGAACCCTGCCAAATAATTAACTCTGCCAGACATTGCTACGTAAGGATCAATGAATACTCAGGGCTATTAACTTCCTTTTTGTGTCACAGTCAACTTAGCCAGTTGAGTTGCTCTCCCAGGAATAATGTTCTCCTGCTTCTGTAGTGTTGGCCCCAGGTATCTGAGCATTGGCTCTAGCTCCATCCATAACTCCATGTAGTCTATCCTGAGAGGTTTTACCTTGTTTCCCTCTTCTACTCCCCCATGTCCCCAAACATCCACTTCTGTAAGAGTTCTTAGTGATGGGACCAAATGCACACAGAGGAGGGGTGAATCATACAACACCCCGTTCCTGTGAATTAGTTGCGGAAGTGCTAAAAGGTGAATCCAGTACCTTCTATGTACCTAATCTCACTTAGCCAAGAGGAGTGGAGTGTAATCTGCATATGATGTACTAACTCTCCTAGCCAAGAAGGTACACGTTCCCAGTCTGTGCGCGCTGTGTGACTACCACTGCTATGCCGTAGGCAAACCTGAGATTAGGAAGAGATTTCTGTTACAATGTGTTTGCAGGGATTGTCTGTCCTCACTAAAGCATGTGAGGACCCTTGGGTTCCCTTTGTCTTTACTGCTTGTGTCTCAACTAACCATGCTTGGTTTACTTGCCACTGTGCAGGAGGCCAGCAAAGCCGTGGGAGAGAGCGAGGCAGAGAAAGAACCATGTGAAAAGGGGCTAAAAACTCCAGTGCCTGAAGGCAAAGTCTGAGGGGCACATCCGACGGAAGAGAAGGTGGAAAGTTGATCCTTATGAACTTGGCCCGCGCCAAAACAGGTTTCTGCGGAACTCAGGACTCCACAGTGTTTATTGTAAAGCTTGTTACAGTTTGTGTGATCGTGGAAGCAAAATGCCTAACCAGCAGCTTCACAAACAAAAATGTTTAAACAGCCCTTCTGCTGTGAGCATGCTCAGCAGTGGAGCAGAAGCAAAGGGACGGTGGGACCACTCCAAGTGGAACAAATGGTCTTTAAAAAGAAAGGGGGAACGACAAAAAAAACAACAACAAAGCAACAAAACTTGGCACTAAGGGGGTTAACTGAGGCGGCTCAAGTCCTGCTTATTTCAGTTCATGTCAACTTTCTGTACAGTGTCCAGGGTCCTCTGAAACGAGTTAGAATGTAGGAGCTATCAATTGTACAATTCAGTATTGCATTTGGTTGTACTGTCATAGCACGACACGGGCCTATGTTGTTGTTCTTTTAAAAAAAAAAAAATTGACCCAAGTGCTACCGATTCAAGGTATCGCGCTGTACCTACTAGAACAAAGTGCAAAGCAATGTGCCATGGTTTGTGTACCGCAGTGTTATGGACTTGAAAGCCAGAAGCAGAGAGGTTACCTTCTCACATAATTTCTTTCTTCTCTCTCACTCCAGTATAGACTTCAAATGGGTTTCTGTAGCACAGGGGACGGAACAATCTAGCTCTTATGGTTACATTCAGCGGTGATGAGCTCTTGGGGGTTGGGTTTCTGTCTGGAGGTTCCTTGGACGCGTTTCTGGGGATGTTACAATGTGATGACAGTAACCAGCATTAAAGTACTGCATTTCATCATGACTTTCCCATTTCCTTTTCGGAAACTGTTACAACGGCTCCCACAAGTGCTGCTTCAGTTACGTTTTTCATCCCTTCCATTAGAACTCCTCTCTCTTCTTAGGGATTTATAATTTGGCTTTAAAATAGGGTTTCATTCTGGGAGTTAATTTATTTACATTTAAAAAAAAAAAGTTGCACCACATTTTAATATTGTTGGCGTGCAAAAGATTGTTTTCAGAAGCTGCTGTTTTCAGATGCTTAATTTACAATCTGCAGGTTTAATTTTTTTTAAATGGAGTTTACAGCTTATTAGGGGGTTGTGCAAAAAAAAAAAGGCAGATGAAATATTGTGGTTCAAAACGGTTATTTGGTCTCTTACTGCACATACGTGGTACCAGGAATCATAGCTTGCCAATGTATATCTTTTATCCAACACTCACTGATGTTTTGGTGAGAGCTGTATTTGTTTATTAATAACCTACAAAGCACAGAAATACGTTGTGAATTACAGATCTGACTGGGAATACACATTCTCAACATACACCATTATGGCTCCTTTGAAACCTAGAACGTACTTCTACCTTAAAGGGACGCTGTCACTACCTTTTTAAACCAGCTTTTAAATTTTTATTTACTCTCCATTGTTTGTAATACCCCCTTTTGAAGCTTGAAAATAAAACTACTTTTCCTATCAGTTTTGTTCTCCATTTAGCAAATACCGGATTTTATTTTGCTCTTTCTTCTTTAATGCTGCAGAAACCAACGGGCTCTCTCTCTTCACTTCTCAGTCTCTCGACCTTGCATTGTGACATGGGGAATGTGCATGGCTGATAATGGAACCAACCTGAAAATCTGCGTGACCCTAGTGATGGAGTCTGTTCACTATATAAAGGCACAGGCTTAATGCTGCCCTGGTGTATGCATGCAAAGGTGCCATTGACCATCATTGGGAGTTATGTACCTGAGGGCAGAATTTAGCCTCTGCTGTGGGCATAGTAGAGGGAGTTGGTTGTATTTAATTGTATTTTAGTGTGATCCCATCAAAACGGAAAGCAGATTTAAAAATTCAACTTGGTAATGGATTTAAACAATGTTAAATATATTTAGAACTTAAAGCCCAATCCCCACTTTATAGACATTTTAAAGTAGTCTGAATTTTTGTCCTGAGCAGGAAAGCAGTGCCCCTTGAATGAATCAGCTGATACGCTAGAGGGTCCATCGGGAGGGAAGACTCGGATACTTTACCTGCACTTGCCCTTTTTTATTACGACTGTATTTTAAAATACAGAAATAAACCACCCGGTGCCATGAAGCAGGACACTTAAATAACGGGAAGAGCTTAACTTCAACCCACGAACTAGGGAAGATTAAAATCTGTCCTTGTCTCCTTTAAACCTTGCTGGGATTTGAGTGAATGTTCCATCTACTGTACAGTAGCCCCACAGTGAAGTACATTCAATATAGCATTTGAGTCTGAACACTGAATGTCCTGCCTCTTGTGTCTATTTAGTCAGACCTTGTCATCTCATTTGAATGTATTTTGGGGAGGCTTTAAGCATCAGTTTGCATGCTTTTGGACAGCAAAGGTGATTTGACCCGGTGGATGGGTGAGCAGTTTGGTGCTTGGAAAGCTTTTCTTGCCACTGTAAAAGGACTTCTACTTCTACAGGGATCTGCAAACTAACTTCTAAAGTGCATGGGTGCATTACGGTTTTTGTTGTTGTTTATTTGCAGGTTTTGTGGGGCGTACGGAAGGGGCCAGGCTGGCAGACTTGAGCCTTTGTTAGCAAACCTACCTCTTGCAGACAATGGGTGTCAGCAGCTGGTGCGGCTAAATGAGTGGTGAATGCAGTGTAGCTGCAAGAGATGGGAAAGACAAACCATGTTTGGCTGAATGTAGATTTTGTCCTTGTCCGCATGTGCAACTGATCTCAGTGTGCCTGTTGCACCACAGAAAAGGTTTCTAGTGTAGACGGCTTTGGAGACAAATTGTTTGTATCCAGCCAGGCAAGCTGTCCCTCCCCTCCCCCCTACTCACAGTCCTTCCAGTATGTCTAACGTCAACCTGGCGGCAAAGGTACAATCTTTAGGAGTGAGGGGGGAGGTAAGACTCCTTGCCCATTCCGTACTGAATCTTGGATGAGACCAGTGCGCTTAAGTGATCATTTGGGATCTGGACTGGACGGACTGATTTCCTAGAGGGCCAAACAGTTATCTGTTACGTATGTGCAAATGGACCACATTTCAACTGAGGAAGGTGCTATATCCTATTCTCATGGCCCTGGGACACCCAGCCCTAAATGCCGTGCTTGTATTCATACATAGCCCCGGTAGTTGGTTAAGTGGGCTGTAGCTACAAGAATGAAGGTGACTCGGGTCATGTGGTCACACATCACTTCTGTAATAGGCACAAGATCCACCCCCTTCCCCATTCTCATCTAAATTCCCTTTCTAGGGTAACGGGGCCTCTTACTTAAACCACTTGCCCTATCCTCTGTCATAAACTGCTCCCCTAGTGTCCACCTTTGCTATCCATAGCCCCTTTGCCCACAGCCAACGTGGTAGCCCTGATCAAATCATCACTTTTTCCCGTGCCTGTCCCTTCTGTATCAATATTCCAGTCATGTGAATTATCCCACCAAGTCTGTGATGCCTGTTGTCACAATTGTGATTATTCACGAGCGTATCTAGTTCTTCCAGTTGATTTCCCCCACGCTTCTTGCATTCGTATACAGACATCTAAGATGTTCATTAGATTCCCCTCTATCGTCTCTCTTGTCTCTCCCTGCTATGATTGCTCATGTTCCTCCCAGACTCTGACCCTTCACCCAGCTCTCCATGTGTTGGATTTACCTGTGGGCTTTTGTCTCCTGCCCCTGTTGAAACTTGTTTAAAGCCTGCCTCACAAGGTTACCCAGATACTCTTCCCCTTCCATGATAGTGGACCCCATCTCTGCTCAGCACTCCCTCTTCTCGGAATATGTTGTTCCACACAGGCTGCTTCATCCAGCCTGTCCCTGCTGCAGGCCATAAAGGGAGTAGAGAGCAGGAAGGGACGAATTTATTGTATCTGTAAGTGGTGGTGGTCTTCCTGTACCCCACTGCAAAGGCTGTGGGAGTCCAGACCCCATCACCTTAAAGGGAGAGCGCAGGCCAGGTAAATTCAGCATCCTTTCTTCCTCTTCATTCAAATGCTGCCTGAGGCTGCAGTATCTTTCGAGCTCATCTATTGTTTCACCTGCTGGAGACTTCCCCAGCACTCAACCTGGCCTCTGGATCCTCCATGCTACTGTAGGCTTGGTGCCTCGGGGAGAGGGGGAGACACAGATACACAGCCACAAGTGACCAGGCGACATCCTTGTTTTGATAACTGCAGTAGCCTTGAATGAAAAAATAAGGGTATCGGGATCTTTGAGTCCGAGGCAGGGTTCCTCCGCCGGGTGGCTAGCAGGGCTGTATTTATGGCAGATGCTCCTGGTATTACAGTCCGGGGAGCCTGGTCAAAAGCATGTGTGGTCATCCGTTTACATCATAATAAAGATGTAGCTGAAAGCAAAGCAAACCCTCTTCTCTTTATTTTGTGAAGCCAAAATTGCTGGATTTGAAGCCAGCATTACTTGGACAGCTAATAAAGAGAAACTCCAAACGAACGTCGCCAGTCGTTTCCCAGCTCCGGCTGCCACGCCGTGGACTGTTGTGCAGAGAGCAACCCAGATGTCTTTCAGTTCAATATATTGCAGCAATACACAACCCCAGTGTTCTGCTCCTCCTGTGAGTGGAGAGTGCCTCGGCTTGGATGTGGTTTAATTTCTATTGTGGTAAGGAATGGGCTGCCTACAAGTCCATGTCCCTTCCCATTGGTGCATATACTGTGGTGCTGAGGGAGATGGTTCTGAGGGAGGTTTACTGCCAACTCTCTCCTCATCACTAGAGTGGCTGCAGGGCTCTTGGCCACGCCTGTTAGTGTTTTTAAAGCATTTATTATTCTGGGGGGATGTTGTATCCTTGGGCACGTCAAAGCTTGAAACACTCATCAAGTTGGACAGTTTTTCTGTCCCTTCGTTGCTGTCTGTGTCCTGCAGCAGCCGTCTGGTGTCCTACAACCCCCCAGCTCATCTGCAGCTCTCCCGCACGGGAAAGGCGGCTGTGCCTTCTGTCACTCTGGCTCCACCTTCTGCATCTGATTCTCCTTTCGCTTTCCTGGCTGTCACCCTAAACTGCTCATTCTCACCAATGGGAGAAGCGGTCCGAGCCACCAGCAGAATTTTGAAGCATGGATCAGTGGAGCTCAACCTCTCCAGACTTCTCTGTTCCCCCTTCAAGAGTCTGATTTGTCTTGTGTACCCCCAAGTTTCACTTCACGTAAAAACTTACAAAATCTGACATACAGATACAGAAGTGTCACAGCCTCTATTACTGAAAAATTGCGTCCTTTCTCATGTTTACCATATAATTATAAAATAGATCAGTTGGAATATAAATATTGTACCTCCATTTCAGTGTATAGTATACAGAGGAGTACAAAATAATTGTCTATGACATTAGTTTGTACTGACTTTTAGTGCTTTTTATGTAGCCTGTTGTAAAACAAGGCAAATATCTAGATGTGTTGATGTACCCCCGGAAGGCCTCTGTGTACTCTCAGGCGCACACGTACCCATTGAGAACCACTGGCGTAGATCCTGACCTTCCTCCCAGTGTTTTCACTCCTGGTAGATCTATGCTCCTTAGAAGCATGCCTTCTGCCTGCGGTGTTTCTGTAGATTGGTTATCCCCCTGCGGTCGCATCCTTGTCGTGCATTGCACTAGTGTCTGCTCTCCAGTGAGGCTGGGATGTTGAATTGTACATCCTCTGTAGAACTGCAGTAGCTCCTACTGCTATTGCTATTCCTGCTGGAGGTCATGGGGCTTCCCCCACCCCACCCACCCCCTAGCTAGGGAGTACCTGGCAAGATTTCCGCACCTGTTCACAGCTCTCTCTATTTGCCCCAGTGCCCTGAGGTGAGCCTAGAAGGGGGAGGGGTAGCATGCTCCCTGTAAAAGCAGATTGATTCCCACCAGGCAGGCATATCTAGATCAGCTAGAGTGACCAGATAACAAGTGTGAAAAATCAGGACAGGGGGTGGGGTGTAATAGGCACCTATATAAGAAAAAGCCCAAAATATCGGGACTGTCCCTATAAAATCAGGACGTCTGATAGCAAGTGTGAAAAATTGGGATGGGAGTGGGGGGTAATAGGCAGGTAATAGGCGTCTATATAAGCAAAAAGCCCCAAATAGCGGGACTGTCCCAATAAAATCGGGACATCTGGTCACCCTAAGATCAGCCCCTTAGCTGCACGGTATCTTTCCTTATTTCCTTCTGTAAATGGACTGTGGTTCTCTCATGCATGTCTTTGTGGAGGAGGAGGGGTTGCTAAGAAACCAGCAGCTGGATGACAACAGGATGGAACTAGAAAGTGATCTTGAAGCCGAGTGTCCCTCTTGTGAACCCTTTGTTTGGCTCCTGACATGGCTCAGGCAGAGGAAGAGGGAGCCCCATATTGCATCTGGTCATTTATGCGGGGGGGGAGAAGGCCTAAGCGCAGAAATTTCTAATTACCCCAGCTAACCGGCTTGGGCCCTGGACATTTCCTGGGTATCGTTGCTATCTCTTGCATAAATGCAAATCTGATTCACACTTACAATATGATCA